TTATATGCGGTATTCGGACAAATTTATAATTGGCCACATGTGCGTGACATCGTATATTAAATCCAAAATATGCGACCAGAGGGTGGTTTCTGATCAATTTGTGAGGATTGTGGAAATGTCTGGATTGCGTGTGATTGCATTTTGTTATATTAGCCGATTTAATTCAGTGTGATCCGTAACGTTGGGATCTGAGCGCCTTCACGTCGTTATTTATTCTCGCTTAATTTCCCGCTGCAAACTCAACCCATTTCAGAATATTATTGTAAGCATCTTGTTCAATAAGTTGTTTTGTTCCGTATTGTAACATATATAAAATGAAACGAAAAATATCATTAGTTTCTTTCGGCTGGTGACATATTTTTTTGTTAGCTTGTTTTAGTAATATGACCGTGGGTGGCACTCAGTTATTAATATAGGCTTTGTGAAAGAGAGAAAGATTAAAATTGCTTGCACGCACCAAATTAAATGATCTAAAAACAACATTCAAAATTTAATGGCAACACCATTCAAAATTCGCGCTTCTCCGCGAGCCCTACAAATTTTCTAATCGAGCGGCAGTTTGCACATCCCTGTTCTAAGGCATTCTGAAACTATCGTCGGGGCCACATGCAACTTTTACTCTGGTTATTATGGAATATAGGATAAATAATGTGGCCTAATGCATATTCAGTCAATTTTTAATGTACTGAAATAAATCGTAGTTTTTTGATATTTTATCCGAGACCTAAGGATTTTTCTTAAAAAAATAATAGGAGTGGCAGAGCGGAGTACCAATATAAATTTGGGTAGACTTTGGGATTTTATCGTAGATCTTGGGATTTTTTTTTTAAAAACGATATATTATAAATATATTCATAACTGGCTGCCAATACATTAGAAACTCTACCTACAAAATGAATTCGTTTTAGAAGCCCCATCTTAAGTAGAAAATTCTGTAAGTAAGGACGCAGTTTTCATATAAATGCCTTAATTCGTTCTAAGCCTACACAAAACTCCGACGTAACATTTGTATAAATTATAATACTGGGTAAACCCGTAACAATAACATGTTAGAATTAAATTACCACATAATAAATAGAAAATGTACACATAGACAGAATAGAGAAATAACCAATAAAAACTTCGAACGGTAGACCGTGGAGAGCGACAGGATGGCGATCTGAGTTTTTTATTATTATTTCATTTTGCTCACTAAACCATTCGTTGATCCAGAAAAAACGCAAATATTATTACGCGATCATTTTCATAATCAAATGGGTACTCCCGAAGTATGTGTACCAAGGTGGCGGACACCGGAACGTAGTATGTGTACCAGGTTAGTGTTGGGCCATAATTTCAGGTACAAATACTACGGGAGTCACTTGGCTAGTCCCGGAACTCATAATAGAACAAAAATAAAAGAAATTGTAATAAAATTGTGGCTGAACTCGAACCTGGTACACATACTACGTTCCGGTGTCCACCATCAAATAAGTGAATCCGATTATTGAATTTCCATCCGTCAATGATGGTGAAATAAGACCGGAAATCGTGTTTTATTATTCGATTCAGTGCTGTTATAAATATTTCATGCCGGTAGTTATGATTTCATTTTTGATTGTCACCAACGACGTCGGGAAAACGATAAAATTCGCAATAGATACTGAATAATATTTAAGAGCTATTCCACACGCTCTAAATTGCAAGGAATGAAAATTTTCCCGTAATGTACGGTCACTATCGAAATTGAGGATGAAAACGATAAATTGCGACCCAATTTCCTTTTAGAATTATTGTCGAGCCCGCACAAACTATCTCGACTAAATTTTAAATGCACGATAATAATTTCGTATATTATTCGTAAATCTCCGACGTGTTTTAACCAATTCAATCAAGTCAGCGCTAATTGAAATCTTTCCATGTGGCTGTAATTTATTGCCTTGCGTACACGGCTGCCTTCGATTACGATAAAAATGAAGTATTTGTAAAATGTTTTTAATCGGAACATGGACCGCGGCGCTAGGATATGTGCGCTTATAAACTCGAAAAAACGATATTCGAAGGTCGCGATATTCAAATATTACATTCGAATTGGACATCCCTGATTCAAGCACTGCATTAAATTAATATCAAATTATACTACACGTGGTATTCAAGTTTTCAACCTTCCGTATGTTGACAATTTGAAAAGATCCGACTATTTTTACGAGTGGCGTAATTCGGCGAATGTTTCAGGACCCATTTCATGGAAATTTCCGAATTTTGATCTTCCCACCCCTTTGAAAATCTTGGCTGTGTCACTGAAAGTGTGTATTGTAACGTGAGTCTAATCGACCCTCAAATATGACATTTTGTGCCAGGATAATATGCCCAATTTAGGTTAATCATGCTTAAGATAAGTATTTCGCAAGCTTTGGATACGGAAATTGTTGAGATATCCAACCTCTGAAAAGCAATCGATTTTTACGATCACCGATTATTATCAAGATTCTCATTAGCTAAATCATTGAGCTGAAGTTACAAACTTTCTATTACTATCAAATATTCCACGTATCGTGCTTCAAAACATTAGATTTTTACAAAGTATGGTTGTCACTTCATCCATTAATTCCCATGCACTCGCCGACAAGAAATGCGTCGGAACAGAAGATCAGTCAAGCGTTTACTATCTGCAGCATAACAATGGTAAGACAATGGTCATTTTGATCCATTGTAAAGGTATCAATGGTCATATTCATATCTAACTATTTTAATTAGTACAACAAAAGAGGTTTCAAGTGATAATCATTTACAAAAGGATTGCTGAATTCGTCTCACGCGGTGGTTCGCGTAACCGCTACGGAGGAAGGTACTCTCGTAGTATGTGTACCAGGTTAGGGTTAGGCTATAATTTTATTCAAATTTTCGTAGTCGATTTGAGTCTGCGCAATCCCACTAGACTAGAGCATATTATTACGTAACAAGTAAGCAGGTCTTAACTCTTTCAAGCATTAGGCAGGTCTTAAATCTGAATTATATGATTTAAATAAATGATGAAACATTCACTCCGGGTACAATGGACCTTTCCCCGACCTTTAACCCCCGAAAAATTCTTACTATACTTTACCATTGCAAAATTTTCGGGACCTATTTTAAGAGTGCTTTTGCGAGCGCCTGTAAAATGGGGTATGTGTTTCAAACCATCATTATGATTCATCGCATACAACAATCTGTTTTCTGAAAGTACCGGTAAAGAATTTTAGACCTTTGGTCTATCACAGCTATTTCTACAATAATTTTTTATTACTGCAATTAAATTAAAACTCCTAGGAAGACAAAGTAATCACTGAATTATCTGATTTATATTTAAGTTTCCGAAACACAACTGCAAACTAACGAATAGATTCAATTTTATGTTTATTTTGAAACTGGCAAATAGCGATTTTGCTTCACATTCGCATGTGGTTGGGCGGTGGATGATCTGAGGGACAGCTGTTTCGTTGAGTCCCAACACTGTACTGGAAAAGGTTTGCCGTAATATTTCAGTGTTTGAGTTTTAAGGTACACCATAGACTAGGACTAATTTGACACGATGTCTGGTCATCTGGCGGTACCGGTGCAGCACAAGTCTGTATTTAAACTATAATATATATGATAAATACTGTTAAAGTAACACTTTCACACAGCGCACTCTACGAAGAAAGTATAGTACGACAGGTGAGGAAGTGAACGACGAATTCTGAAACGGCGCGGTGAAGCGAGAGTCCCCTCAAAAACGAATGAAAACGTTACTGGCAGCATCGGTCAAAGGTCATGAAAATAGGTAATTGTCGGCTCGGAAGGCTCAAATTCTAATTGTTGCGTCACCGTTTAGTTATGACTGAGTGTTCATTGTTACGAACATAAACAGAGAAGTCGTTGCTGAGGGTAACGTCCATTGTCAGCTCAGAATGCTTAGTGAAATCGATTTTTTAGTTTCATTCGTAAATTTGGACTTCGAATAATAGTTGTAACTATTAGTTTACTGTGACTGTTAAATCAGAGAGTTTGGTAATTTATTGAAAACAGCATCCCGACACTCCAAATAGCAAATACGGACTAACTAAAGAACGCACGTGACATAGTCTGCTTTTTCGACTCTAGATGGCGGAAATACTAAAGAAATGCCTAAACTGGAATTGAAAAACTTCGACGAAAAGGTAAACCTCGGACGGTATTGGTTAAAATTATCACACGGGAAATTTGGACAATTACTTCAGTGATATTGAAATTGATGTTGCGGTCAATAATATAACAACAACTTTTCAGCTAAGAAAAACTTCCATCCTTTATTAGCTGTGACGTCGAGTGAAAGTCGTCATACAGCAAGTTCTGAGGTAATGCTGCACATGGTATGCATTGTGAGCCTGGTATCGTGCGGTTGCAACACACGTTCCAAAATATTGATTATTTCCGTTTGTTTTTCGAAGACTTGAGAAGCAAACTGAGAGCAAAACGATGTTCACTTTTGTGACAGTCTGGCATGAATTTCCCGAATTCTAATTCTTGCAACGCTAAATGCAAGATGTTGTTAAAGCGTCTAACTGCTGAAATACGATTGGTTAATTTGTTTCGATATTAAAAACTCATAAATACCGGCAGCAGATATCTTAATTCAGTGCAACATCGCGAACGAAGCTGATAGGCATCGGCTTCACAGACAAACGAATTGCAAAGCTTTAGTGGAACGCGGTTTAGGATTTTTTTCAGGAATATTTGCTAGAAGCAAGGTGACGAAAAGTCACTCAAAAATTGAAAAGGATTTTTCTCAGCGAAGCTACTGGTGAATACTAAAATGTCGAGAGTTAGTTGACAGGGCCAATTACAATAAAAAGTCGCATACAGTTATTCCTCTCTCAAGTATTCGAGATTCGATTCTGAAATCATCAGATATTCGAAAATGCCCAAGCTCTAACCATGATGCGGAAAATTTAAAAAATCTGAATGAAGCGCAAATATGTACATGCATGAAAGGTGGAACAATCTTGTGAATAAACTATGTATAGCTCTACGAAATCTACCTTTAAATGCGCTAGAAGTGAAAAGCGTATGGTTCATATGCCAAGAAGAATCGTTATATTTTATTTCTTAACAATAATCTGTCTGTTCCATATATTGATAAAAATATTTTAGATAGACTTGTCTCGTGTCAAAGAACTGCATTCCAAACCAAAATGATGAACAAAATATTGGCTCTGTTTCTGGTGTTGGCTGTTGCTTTAATGATGATCCTCAGCATAGTGGGGCGTCTAGGTAGGTATATAATCAGGAGGGTGATACCCAAACGTATATTTTTGAACGTGGTGCAGAGAAAATCTATTAAAGATTAAGCAAAGGCTAGATTGAATATGAAAGTAACCTAATAGCCTTCTACAAAAAAAGGGTTCGACTGGTCCAACACTTCGAAATTGGTCCAAAAGCTCCGTAATTCTACGTTGTGCTCATGGCTTTCTAGAAGAGAAGTTAAAACCATATTCTAAATTTTCTGAGTAGAATACTACAAATTTTGTAGTCAAAATTGCGTTACCTCGTAAACGAGAGCATCAAGTTGGAGCATAAAATATTTCGGTAGACCGGAGGCAGGATAAATCTTATTATCGACATCCTGGGCCTTCCACATCGAGAAATTGTTGTTTAAATAAGCTCAATACGAGCCCCAATCTATTACAAATGAAGAACTAACAGGCGACCTCCACATCCTCTTCAGTCATTCTTGCCACGTATTTCGGTGGATGCGGTCTAGACTCAAGGCAATTCTGGTAAAGCCTTACAAAACAAACATAAATTGACTTCAAATATAAATCACGTTACATTATTCTATGTTAAATATTTTAAGACAGATTATTTTGTTTGATCTGATTCTATTCACTCATTTCCAGACTGCATTAAGGAATGTGAATACCCTCAAAAATGCATTCAAGGAAGTTGTCAAGTAAGTGCCGTTCATTTTGCGTGGTTCCTGTTATTGTGGGACTTAATTTTGGTGGAGTATAAAGATATGTAAATACTATGAAAAGAGGCATTTTTCGGTGACTAAAATGAACTCTAGTAACTGAGAGAAGGCATGAGCCAAAACAAACAATAAAATGTCATTCAAGTTACCCTAATTTTTTAGTAACCGCAAGAGTGGGGATGATGATGTTGACTCTGCATTATGGGAAAAGAATTATTATTATCAGACATCATAATCAAGAACTTATTTCAACATATTGAATAAATAAATGCAACTTTATGATTTGTTTTTATTTCAACGGATTGTGGGGAATTAGAAGGTTTAAATACAGTATACGTGAAAGTTATTAATTTGTGTAATTGAAAAAGAAACATAGAACAGATTAGAAGCAGAAAAATTGAAGAAGCGAATTGCCGGACTCCAGCCCAGGCAGTCTCGAATAGCTTAAGGGCGCTCCAGACGTGTGTCTACCAATATAGAGGGAACAAATTTTGTTCGCCTATTTTTACCTTAGGTTGTGAAAAGGGACTGAAACCTATATTCACTTGGCTAACACAAATATTCCCCGAACTCGGAAATAAAATCATGGCCTAACCCTGGCCTAATGTTAATGCAAATGTGGCGTACCAAAATTGATATCACCACTCAGGTTCTTTCTGCCAGCTTATCGGACACTGAAGTTGCAATAGATGTCGTTCACAAAACAATCTTCTTGCGGTTCCAATCACAGCAGAGTAACTAAGTTAACTAACTAGATTAATTATACACCTGTAAGAACTTAATACAACCAAATACTCCAATAAGAAATACAATAAACAAATAAAAACATGAAAACACAGTACAAATACCGTAGGATACATACGTAACACAAGATACGGAATTGGTCTATGACGTCACAGTCATGAACTATTTACTTATAATGGGATATTAAAAACCGGGTAAAACATACCTAGATATACATAAGAATAACTAGTATGACACTAAAGATACAACACAAATCCTATCTTATCGACAAACACGTAATATACATGGAAATACGCATAGAAATCACACAGGAAATAAACTGCGAAAATAGACTAGTTACGGAAGTGTTAAATACAAGCTAACTAGTGAACAGAGCTATGCCAACTAGAGAAACAGTAAACCTGTACTACTAATATCATTTTACAACAAGAATTACACAGATTAACGGCACTAAAGCACTATAATAATAACCTAATACACAGAGGAAATATCTACACTGCCGGCAGTCTGACAAACCAGCTAAAAAGAGAAAGTTACACAGCTGCTCACTAGTGACTCAAGTGGTAAGAACAAATATGGGCACACAGAATAAAACAGAGTTATAGACGTGGTCGTCTCATTACTCCCCCCTTTTTCAGATGGGAAATTACAAAGAAATTTTCCATCTTTAAAATTGAAAAACCATAAAAATGTGAAGAAACTGCAAAAAACTGTACACTCAAATGAAATGTATATCTAAAATCAAAACAATCAATTGTTAAAAGCACTATCACAGTCAAATCAAATGTAATCATCCAAATATCTAGGCCTTCGCCTAGTACGTTGGCCATTATCAGAGTTCGCATCAACTGTAACTTCTTCTGGTACAGTGTCTGGCCTTGAAGAGAAAGGTAATTCATCAAAAATATCATGAGCAGCCTGCTCATTATTTTCCATAATAGGTTCCACATCAGGTAAAATGTCAAATCCGGTTAAGTCAATGTCGTTGTCTTCTTCATCTTCATGAAGGTAAGGTCTCAGTTTGTCAACATGCACAATTCGAGAACGTGTTCCCGAATTCTTCTGAATCCTATACAAGTGATTAGGTAAACAGTCCACAATTCGATAAGGTCCAATCCAAGGAATACTCAGCTTGCGATGCTTAGGTGGATAATAATACCACACCAATTCATCTCTCTGGAAAGTAAGTGGTTTTACACCCAGATCAAAATTTCGCTTTTGTCTGGTTGCAGCAGCATTTAGATGTTGCCTAGCATGAAGAAAAGCTTTTTCAGTTGCACAGGAAAGCCATTCGACAAACTCAGTGTAACAAGGATGAGTTGATGACTCTGGTTTGCCAAACATAACATCAACAGGCATCTCGATTTCTCGTCCAAGCATTAACTTGTTCGGTGAATATCCTGTACTATCATGCACAGTGGAGCGATATGCCATACAAAGATATGGGAGATGGTCGTCCCAATCATTTCGATTCTCATTTACAAAAGCTTTCAACATCTGCTGTATGGTCCTGTTGAAACGTTCAACTTGTCCATCTGAACGAGGATGATATGGAGTTGTTCGAGTCTTTTGAATCCCGTACAATTGACACATTTCTGAAAATAATTTTGATTCAAAGTCTCTTCCTTGATCTGAGTGGAGAATTCTTGGTACCCCAAATCTCGAAAAGAATTGAGTAACCAATGCATCAGCAGTGGTGTCAGCTCGCTGATTTGGTAAAGCAAAACATTCCACCCATTTAGAGAAATAGTCCGACAAAACCAAAATGTGTTCATTTCCATTTTCAGTTACAGGCAATGGTCCAAGAAAATCAATGGCAATCCTTTCCATAGGAGCTCCAGATATAAGTTGTTTCAAATCTCCCTGTCTTCTTCCGTAAAGCATCTTTGTTGAAGCACAAGACTTGCAAAATTTGCACCATTTCAGAATGTCCCTTTTGAAACCAGGCCAATAAAATCTGCGCCTTATACTCTTGAAAGTTCGATTAGCACCAAGATGACCTGCAGTGCGCAAAGAATGGAGCTTATGAAACAAGTCCTGCCTCAAATTTGATGGAACAATCAATTGGATATGCGATTCCTCCGATTTACAATCAGGAATCCAACGACGATAGAGAAGTCCATTATCTACAAAAATCAAGTCCCACTGCGACATTAAACGTTTGGTCACTGTTGATTCAGGCATGTATTCTTGAATGTCAGGTTTCTGAGCAGTAAGTTGTTTCCATTTCAAAACAGCAGAAATATCTGGATCTTCACTTTGCCAAGATTTAATTTGCTCATCTGTGTAGGTATCTAGCCAATTACAATCGGAACAGTCTGACGATGATTGACCGGGCTGTTTTGATATTGCACTTACAATAACATTACTCACAGCCACATCACCATTGGTACCACAATCAGAACAATCTTCTCGCTTGCATTTGCGAACTTGGCGTGACAATCCATCAGCATTGCCATGTTTCACGCCAGGTCTGTGTTCAATCTTAAAGTCATAAGCGCCAAGTGTTAATATCCATCTTGCTAACATTCCTTGAGGTTCACGAAAATTGATCAACCATTTCAGAGCAGCATGATCTGTGCGAATTCTGAACGGTCTCCCGAGAAGAAAATGACTGAAGTGACGAACAGCCCACACCACAGCTAATAGTTCCCGGTGTGTAGCACAGTATCTACGTTGAGACTTGGACATAGTCTTACTGGCATAAGAAAGTACACGTTCATTGTCGTCCTGAACTTGAGATAACACTGCACCAATCCCAAAACCACTGGCATCAGTATCCAATACAAATTCGCCGATTGTCCTCGGAAAGCTAAGAATTGGGGCAGATGTCAGACAATGCTTCAAAGTTTCAAAAGCCTTTTGACATTCAGTACTCCATACAAAGGAAATATTCTTCCTGGTCAATCGAATAAGAGGTCCAGCAATTGTTGAATAATCTTGAACAAACTTCCGGTAGTAGTTCGCTGTGCCTAGAAAACTACGAATATCGCTGACAGAATTTGGCGTTTTCCATTCTTTAATAGCCGCAACATTTCCAGGGTCGCAACAGACACCGTCAGATGAAATAAGATAACCAAGATAAGAGGTGCTTCGACGGAAAAGTTTACATTTCGAGGGCTTCAAGCGTAAACCGGCACGGCGAAGTCTTATAAAAACTTCCCGAAGATTTGAGAGTGCCATTGAGAAATCACTACCATGAGCCAAAACATCATCAAGAAAATTGAAACACCCGTTCCACAGGAGATCACCAAGGATATTGTCCATCATCCGTTCGAATGTTGCGGGAGCATTCGCCAAACCGAAAGGCATCACTACAAAGTGAAAATGACCACGGCCTGGGATGCTGAATGCTGTCTTTTCACGGTCTGCAGGATCAACCTCCACTTGCCAATATCCGCTAGCGAGATCAAGAGTTGAGAACCATTGTGCTCCGTTTAAGGACTCAATGATATCCTCAATACGCGGCAAGGGATATGCGTCCTTGTATGTGACGTCATTAAGCAATCTAAAATCCACGCAAAATCTGGTAGAACCATCCTTTTTGGGAACTAGGACAATGGGAGAAGAATATGGGGAATCGCTGGGTTCTATGACACCCTGAGCCAGCATATTATCAACAGCTTCTTCGGCTATCTTCCTACGCGCCCACCCCATTCGACGAGGAGCCTGCCGAATCGGCTGTGGTGTGGTTGTGATGATCCTATGCTTTGCTGCTGAAGTACGGCCAAGTTCACCATCTGGTCCTACAAATACATCATGGAATTCACAAATCAAGTTGACCAACTGTTCACGTTGACTCGGGGTTAGATCCTCAACGGAATTGACCATGTCATGTAGATGTTCTGGTAATTCAGAAGCTATAACCCGATTATCGGATTCGTCAACTTGAATTTGTGCTACAAGTTGAGGATGTGCAATACCAATCAAAGATCCAGCCCTGATCTTAAGTTGTCTGCCTTTTTGGTTCACCGCTAGAACAGGAACAGTGGACTTTCCTGGATCCACTACAGAAGAAATCAGCTGAACGCCATCAGCAAGGAAAGAAGAATTCAGCGGTTCAACAAGAGCAGCAACGTCAGACAAATTGCTTTTCGGCCAAGGACGACTAAGTTGTGCAGGGATAACAACCTTAGAATATGGCGGTATAGTAATATCTTCTCGAACAGTTACACGACAACACGGTACAGACTTTTCAGTAAACAGTTTGATTTCATGACCCTCTATCATCATGTGTCCAGATGATAAGTAAAGAACGCAATCATGTTCTCGGAGATAGTCCATGCCCAAAATACCATTAGACATACCTAGGTTGGCAACAACAACAGTGCGTCGCGATGCAAAAGAATCAATAGACAAATCAACTTCCAATGTACCCAGTGGTGATAAATCATGTCCTCCCACTGCAACAAGAGATTCTTCGAGCGGTGCTAAATGTGCTTCTTTCCCACCTATAGCCTCAAAGATGGAAATGTCGATCAGAGTAGTCATAGCACCACTATCTACAAGAAAATTGAACGGTTGATTGTTTACAAGTACCT